TGGAGCAGTAGTAAAGAATCCTCTTTAGTAGTAAAGAAGGTGAGGGTGGGATGTTTCAAGAGAACAGCATTGAAACATGTATATTATCTAGGGTGAAACAGATCACCAGCTCAGGTTGGGTGCATGAGAAAAGTGCTCGGGCCTGGTGCACTGGGAAGACCCAGAGGGATCGGGTGGAGAGGGAGGTGGGAGGGGGGACTGGGATGGGGAATACATGTAAATCCATGGCTAATTCATTTCAATGTATGACAGAAACTACTGTAATGATGTAATTAGCCTCCAACTAATAAAAATAAATGGAGAAAAAAAAAAAAAGAATCCTCTTGCCAGTGCAGGAAACACGGAAGATGTGGGTTTGATCCCTGGGTTGGGAAGATCCCCTGGAGGAGGAAATGGAAACCTGCTCCAGTACTCTTGCCTGTAAAGTTCCATGGACAGAGGAGCCTGGCAGGTACAGTCCATGGGGTCTCAAAGAGTCAGACACAACTGAGCTCGCACACGCATCTACTTCATACGATATTGGGGAGGATAAAGGAAGATAATGTTTGTAAAAGTACTTTGCCTAATGCCTGACACATGGTAAGAACACACTAAAGTTTAGCTTAGGGGAATGGTGGTTGTTTTACTTGGAGGAGGGAGGTAAATCATATCTGTTGTCATCTCTGAGACGAGCAAAGGCTTAAGATTGATTTCACCAGGTTCCCAAGATTTCCTTGAAATTGATGACTTTCTTCATTGCCTAGAGAACCCTGCACTGCAGAAGCCAACCACTGCCCTAGATCAGTGTCTAATGAAGATGTTTAAAGCAGAAGCAACCATGAGGGAAACAAGGAAAATTCCAAAATACATTTGGTACCACAGACCCAAACTAGCAACATAGTCTAAACAGAAAAACTGCTTCATATGCAAGGATATCAGGGTATGACATTCAAAACACTTAAGTAGTTATGCACAGACTATAAAATAAGACAGATTTGAAGCTCAACTCCTGCCTCTGCCACCCCATCCTTGTGACCTCTGCAAGTTATTTAACTTCTCTCTTTGCTTCACTTTTCTTTAAACATCAGGCTAAGTCTTTCAGGACAGTTAAGGAGAGTCCCTATCATTAAGGATTAAATACAATAACAGACTCTCAGGTGTGAGCCTGTTTCTGTCCTTTCTGAGGCGTTGTAAATTTCCCCAACTCAACATCCTGTACCTTTTGTCTTCTAAGAATAAAACAACCCAAACAGTCCTCCACAGAATATAATGAGTATTTCTCAATTATAATTTTCAGTGATATAATAAGCATTAAGACTTTCTTTGAAAGCTAGGAGCTGACATATCACTCAGTTGCCCTGGGGCCTGGGAAAAGTCCTCAGGTAGGCCCCAAGGCAATCTGTTCTTAAATTAGAGCCTTAAAGGGAAGCAAATTTGGAGCCAGGTTCTCCCAAGGGTGCCATCTTTTGAAAATCAAGAAACCAAGCCCAATAAAACCACCTACCCTGTAGGCAATGTGAAGCCTGAAAGAAAACTGACAGATCCACTTTTTCTACACTCTTCTTCCCCATTTCCTCCCCCCACCCCCCACCAGAACAATATAATATGATAACTCACCTCTGAGAGGCCTTGCTACACTAGCCAGCGGCCTCACCAGCCTCACCATGGTGGCCCCAATGGTGCGGTTTTCCCTAGGGTGTCCACTTGCGTCAGCTGAACGCTGGTACAACTCCATCATATACCGTAAGGGATGCCCTAAGACCCGTGGCTTCTTCTGCTGCTGGCCAGGGGCTTCTTCTAGCAGCTCCTGAATCAGGGGCAAGGTAGGGGCCTCAGGCAGGTGGGCAATAGAGGGCTGCCCTACCTGTGTCATTTGGACCCTATGTTCCATAAAAAGCACCAGTCCCCAAAGAAGAAGGATTCTAAGGATGCTCAGGAGGATCATCTTGAAAAGCTTGGTGTTCAGCAACATGTTTTGGTAAAAGCCCAAAGGATATCACTTTAAACCTTTCCTTTTATGTGGTAACAGCATCCAGGCTCCACTTCCACAAAGGACAGGGCAAGGAAAAATGAAAGGCTGGCAGGCAGGTCCTATGTTTCTTCCTCTGGTAAGATCTCCTGAACCAAAAAGGTCTTCTAAATTGTCCTCTTTGCATCAAACAAACAGAAACAGCAGGTAGGACAAGGCAGCATGCCCATCCTGCTCTCCAGGGCTGGGAACAAGATCGTATTTAAAAGGAGAGGCCCATTCCAGGACCTGCTCCCTTACCTTATCCATCAGGATGAAAAGCAGCAGCCCTAGCCTGCTCTGCTTCACAGCTTTAAAGGTAGTCCCTTAATCAGTCCTTAAAGGGCCAGAGGCCTCCTGTTCCCACCCCACTTCCATTCAATACTTTTCCTAATGTAGCATTTCTCAAAATGTGGTCTGCTAAGAACTTTCAGTGGAACTATCTGAGGGGATGGTTAAGAATTTGGGCTTCTGGGTCCAGATGAAAACATGGACTCCCTGAGTGTAAGTGCCAGAAATCTGAATTTTAAGTCCTTCAAGAAGTTCATGTGAATACTAAAACGTGGGAACCTCTCTGTGAGTATGGCTGCTGGAACTTGAAGAAAATGCCCCAACAGTGGCTCTTAATCTTGACTCTATACTGGGATCACGTGGGGAGTTTTAATTATTATGGATGCCTGGGTACCATCCCCAGAGATTCTGATGGAGTCAGTCTGGGGTATTACCAGGGCATCAGGATTTCTTAAAGTTCTGCAGGTGATTTTAATGTGCAGCCAAGTTTGAGAATGCTGACTTAGAATTTTCTGGTTTTTCCATGGAAGGTGTTGAGATTCTGTGTGGGTTTCACCAGAGAAGCATAGGGCAGTGGGAACTGAATCTGTGGAAGTTGGCTAGGAGCTCACCTAGCTTGGTTGGTTACTGGAGGCATCAGGGCTGAACCAGTTAGTTAAGGCTACCCCAGACCAGGATTCTGCAGAAAAATGGTAGGTGTAGTTCTGGCCCTGTCCAAAAAGAAGCAGTTTCCTGGAGCTCTAAGAAGAAGGTGGGACAGGAGGTCAAGACATGGCTCTGTGGAACAGGTATGGACTTTGTAAGCAACGGACCTGTGTTTGGATTGTTATTGATTCTGTTTCTTATTAGCAGTCATTTAACCTCTCCAAAGCAAATCTCTTCATTTCCTTGAGCCTCAGTCTCCTCACTTGTAAAATGGAGATAACATGTTTTATCCCACAGCTTGTTGTGAAGATACAAGGAAATAATCTGTGTTCATCCTAGCAAAACCTAATTAGACATACATGGTTACATGCTGGAAATTATTTGTTCCCTTCTTCTGTTTTTTTCTAACTAGGCCTTGGTCCCTGGCATGTATTTTAAAACAAAAGATATGGGTCCCCTAGGTCTCAACTCACATCCCAAGTCAACAACTTATTAGCTGGTGACCTCTAACAAGATTACTCCCAGTAATCTGTAATGAGTAATGAGTTTCTTTTTTTGTACTGCCAGCTCCTACAGAGAGTTGTTGTGAGTATTGTATTGTGTACATTTTTATTGTATACAATGATATACAAGTAAGGGATATAAGCAGATGATTCACAATAGGCAAAACCCAAATGGCCAAAACATGAAAAGATGTAAAAGAAATCAGAAAAATGCGATTCGTAACATATCAGAACTCTGGTGCTATTAAATTCAGGTGAGGATGTAGAATGCAGATAATTTTCTTACACTGCTGATAGGAATGTGATTTGGTACAATTGTTTTAGAGAGCAATCTGGCATTATCTCTAGTGAGTTTGAAGGTGTGCAATTCAGGCATTGCTACTATTGCTAGAACAGTAGCTTTTAGACACTTTTGTCTGATTCATAGGAATAAATACACTTTACATCCAACCCACTATAAACAAAAGCACACATGTGCATGCACACACACACACACACCTGAAGTAAACATTTCCTTAAACAATTATTATCTTTACATGTTGGGAGGGATACTATATCATGATGAGTAAGAACATGGCTCTAGAGTCAAAATCCTAAATTCAGACTCCAGCGCTACCATTCATTAGCTTAACCTTGGGCAAGTTACTCAACTTCTCTGTGCCTCAGTTTCCTCATGTGTGAAATAGAAACTGTAGCCTCTCTCTGCTTCAATTTTCTAATATTTATGTAAAATGAGGTTAATCAAAAGACAACTCACAGGATTGTTGTGTTAAATGAGTTAATACATGTAATGGACTTAAAAGAGTGACTGGCACAAAGTAAATAATAGACACAGGTTAATTATTATTACATTTAATGAAAGTTGTGCTCTCCAGAAAGCTGGGCTCACCTTGAGCTGGGCTCACCTTGAAATGACCTGTTATGAGCTGTGGAGAGGTAGCCCAGAAGTTTCTCTGTCTTCCATGTCCACACCACTTCTCCCTTCTTTCTTACCCCTTCTCTGCCTCCTAACATTCTCTTTGGCCCCTGACCTCTGTCTGTTACCAATTAAACTTCCTATTTTCTATCCAACATAACTCAATAAAAGTACAAGTTGTCAAAACAACTAGTAAAGCCTTCCTAGCCAGTTTTCTTTGATGTTTCTCTGGTATTTGAGTGGAATTATATTAATCAAGAACATTTTTCTGCCATAATAGTGAGATTTTTTTTTGAGAGAAAAAGGCAACTATATTTTGAAGTAAATTAATGTGATTCCTGTCACCGATATTCATGCTCCTCAGAGACTGAAGGCCATGGGCTGGCGGCTCTCACAGCTCTACCCAGCACCCTGCCCCACCCTGGTCACTGGCTGCTGGTTTCCAGCAAAGCTTCACCTTTCAGTTTTCGAGGGAACAGCAGGAGCTTCGTCGTTTCCCACGGTGGGGGAGCCCACCGTCCTGATGTGGTCAGTGCCTCCAGCAGCAGGGCTCTGAGTTCTCAGAAGCGAGATGCAGCGATTACACTGGAATCAGAGTGGGGGCAGCCTGCGAGGTGCTGCGGGGGGTGGGGAGGGGGGCGGGGGATGCGGCGGTGGCTCAGAACTCCTCATACACGCTGCGGGTGTAGTCCACCAGCTTGCTGCCCATGAAGAACTCACTGTACTTCAGCACCTCCTCGGGCTCCAGGTAGTGATTCTGGTTCTCGTCAGCAATAGCGATCATCTGTTTGGCCTCATTGAGGGCACTGAACTCGTTCATGGGGTCCATGTAGTCCTCCAACTCCACCATGGTCACGATCCCATCGTGGTTGGCATCGATCAGCTCCTCAAACTCTCTCTTCCTATCCTGCACCCAGCCGTCGTCAACATCCTGGCTCTGCTGGTTCTCCACGGTGCCCACGGGCAGAGAGATGAATTCAGACAGTGAGAGCTTCTTGTCACCGTCATGGTCCAGGTCCCGGATGATCTCCTTGACCATGAACTGCAGCATGCCACGGCTGTCCTCGGGGTGCAGGAACGATAGGAACTCACTCTCTGTCAGCAGCAGGTCCGGGGGCAGGTTGTCTGCCTGATACCAGCGGTCTTTGAGGTTCTCCAGGACTTCCTGTGTCTCCTCATCGATGTTCAGGTCCCACTTATTCTTTATCTTTTAAACAACTTCTCTCTCATTGTGGCTTTTGGTCACCAAAAACTTCACCTTGTACTCATCCCAAGATACGTGGCTGTCACCATCAGGGTCCACGGCTCGGAAGTGCGCCCTGCTCTTGGCAACAGCCTCCTGGAAGTGCTCAGCCATCTTCTGCATGATCCAGTTCTGCATCTCCTTGGCGCTGATCCTCCTGTCGGTGTTCAAATCCACCTTGGAGAAGATGACCATCAGCTTCCTCCGGCTCTTCTGAGGCTCTGCGTCCTCCTCAAAGTCATCCATGTCCTTGCCCAGGAAGACCTCCTGGTGGAAATCTTTGTTGAGGTGCCTGTCCATTTCCAGCTTCACCCCGTTCAGGTGGCCCGGGGGCAGGATCTCATTTTCCTCCCTATTACCTGCTCTCTCTCGAGCAGACAAGTGGTTGGCAGGCCAGGCAGATGCATCCATCAGAAGGACAATGCCCAGGAGCCAGAGGCAGCAAGGAGCCAGGCCACAGAGGGGAGCCTGCCTGGAGGCCATGGCCGCCGGGGTCTGCGCTGTGGGACAGGCTGCAAGTGTGGCCAGGAGTGGCCTCCATCCCCTCACCCAGGATCCGCGAGCGCGGCCTGAGCACCCGCTACGGCTCCAAAGGGCCTCCGCTTAGGCCGCAGCCATCTTTCTTCCGGGCAATAGTGAGATTCTGATTCAGGATCAAAAGAAGTAAAGAGATAATATATTACCCTGGAAAGAACATGATTTGGGTTAGAATTCCTGGTTCTGCTATTTTTTTCTGTTGCTCAACCTCTCTCAATCTCAGCTTTCTTTAAAAAAAAAAAAAGATTTATTAATGTATTTATGGCTGTGGTGGGTCTTCATTGCTGCACTCAAGCTTTCTTTAGTTGTGGCAAGTGGGAGCTACTCTTCATTGTGGTACCCTGGCTTCTCATCTCAGTGGCTTCTTTTGTTGTGGAGCACAGGCTCTAGGCACACAGTCCTCGGTAGTTGCAGTGCATGACCTCAGTAGTTGTGGCTATTGGGCTCAGTTGCTCCATGGCATATGAAATCTTCTGGGACCAGGGATTGAACTAGTGTCCCTTGCATTGTAAGGAAGATTCTTAGCCACTGGGCCACCAGGGAAGTCCTACCTCAGCTTTCCTAACTGTAAATTGGGGATATTCTTTAGGACTGTGGTGAGATTTAAATGAGATAATGTGTACAAAGTATTAGCACATCAGTCAGTCAGTTCAGTTGCTCAGTCGTGTCCGACTCCTTGCAACCTCACAAACCACAACATGTCAGGCCTCCCTGTCCATCACCAACTCCCGGAGTCCACCCAAACCCATGTCCATTGTGTCGGTGATGCCATCCAACCATCTCATCCTCTGTTATCCCCTTCTCCTGCCCCCAATCTTTCCCAGCATCAGGGTCTTTTCAAATGAGTCAGCTCTCTGCCATCAGGTGGCCAAAGTATTGGAGTTTCAGCTTCAACATCAGTCCCTCCAATGAACACCCAGGACTGATCTCCTTTAGGATGGACTGGTTGGATCTCCTACTTTAGTTCTTCACTTTCTGCCATAAGGGTGGTGTCATCTGCATATCTGAGGTTATTGATATTTCTCCCAGCATATAGATACTCTTAAAGAAATGTTAAAGTTTATCATTAATAGCCAATGATTTTAAACTGTATGTAAAGTGTACCTGACTGAGGGAAATATCCACTCCTAAAGCTCAGCTTAATTTTTATTCCATCCCTCTACTCACCAGGGCTTCAGGAGACTTGCCTGACTGAAAAGGTCAGCTTTATTATTTTCAGAACATCCTATTTCTCGTTTCAGAAAAAGATCCCAAAACTAACTCCATTCCTATGACCAGAATTGAAAGAAGTTGACATGATTATTTCCTGAAAATGTTGCCTGGTGGGCCTGATACATGCTACTCCCCTAACCCCCCAGAAGAGGGCAGGAATTGTCTTTCTAGCCTTTATGGTTGGAGTGTTGCGTTGGAGCGGAGGGACAGGTTATAGGCAATAGGAACAGGATCTACTAAAGGATACTTAGAAGGTCTTTCTGCTTTAGAAAAAGTAGTATGTGAAAACATTGCTTATGTAAATTGAACAGTTTAGGAGGCGATTATTGACATAACAAAAAGGGTGCTTTGAAACAACAAAATGGGTCACCTCAAGTTGCTCTGAGCAACAGGAAACCTTAATGTACAGTATGGGTTAACTTTTCTGGACACAGCTGGACACACTGGTGAGAGGCATAAAATTTACAAAAAATAGCTTTTCATCCTATTTGGGGAAGCATGAGTATTGTTTAAGGTTCACATGTATAATGGAGTCCTTCTTTTATTATGATTATAATTTATATTTTCTTACAATTGTATTCATTCAACAAATATCCAATAAGTACTTCCTATGTGGTTGTATAAGGTTTAAGGGTGCAGGCCAATTGCCAGACTACCTAAGTTCAAATTCCAGCTCTACCACTTAACTAGCTTGTAATTTTTGCAATTGACTTAACCTTTCTGTGCCTCAGTTTCCTCATCTAATAACAAGGATAATAAAAGAAATATTTCAGAGGACTATTGTGTGAAGATTACATGAATTATGCATGTTACAGGCGTATGTTCTAGACACTACTAAACCCCAGTAGTACAGAAATTAATAAGACAAGTCCTCTGTCTTTCACACTCCCAGTACTATGCTAGGCACTGAGATAGGTTTGGGGTATACCAAGACAAAACAGGTAGTTTCTATCTCAAGAAGATAAAAACCTTAATAGAGACATAAAGGATAGGATATATTTCCCATAACCATGATATTTCCTCTAAGTACTCTTCTGAGTTCTTAAAAAATGGACCTATTTTCTAGATGTTGTGTTTAAAAAATAGTTTTCCTTAAAACAGAGAGTATCATATATTTTATAGAAATCTTTATTAATTTGGCATTAGACTATATCCTTTTGCATATTATATCTTATTTTTATCTTCATATCAACTCTGTGAGTTAAGCATTATATTCCCATTTATAAGTAAGGAAGTTGATCAGACAAGAAAACTCGTCCAAGGTTGTACAGTTCTCAAATGGTGGAATCCACTGGTATTTGGATCCAACTAAGAGGAGACTTGAGTTCCTCTCTTTGTATCTTATAGGTTGCTATATAAGCTGTCAACTGATATTTAGCACCTTAAGAAGACTCAGTTTCCCTGTAAGATAATCCCACATGGATTCCTGAGTATGGAATTTTGACTCTCATTGTTGCTTATGAATCATATGACTCCCAGACAACCAGAAGATTATGTTTTCTTTTAGCTAAGCATGACACATTCTGAAAGTCTGTTTGGTATCAGAGATACCTGCTATCTTTGGAGTTTTTGGTCATTTTTGGATAATCAAGGCATCAGTAATCAATTGACCACATTCTCATTCTATCAGTTTAGTTCAATTGCTCAGTCATGTCCAACTCTTTGCAACCACATGGACTGCAGCAGGCCAGGCTTCCCTTTCCATCACCAACTCCTGGAGGTTGCTCAAACTCATGTCCATCGAGTTGGTGATGCCATACAAACATCTCATCCTCTGTTATCCCCTTATCCTCCTGCCTTCAATCTTTCCCAGTATCAGGGTCTTTTCCAATGAGTCGGCTGTTTGCATCAGGTGGCCAAATGATTGGAACTACAGCTTCAGCATCGGTCCTTTCAAAGAATATTCAGGACTGATTTCCTTTAGGATTGACTGATTTGATCTCCTTACACACCAAGGGACTCTCAAGAGACTAACACCACAGTTCAAAAGCATCAATTCTTTGGCACTCAGCCCACATCCATACATGACTACTGAAAACACAATAGCATTGACTAGATGGACCTTTGTTGACAAAGTACTGTCTCTGCCTTTTAATATGCTGTCAAGGTTGGTCATAGCTTTCTTTGAAGGAACAAGCATCTTTTAATTTCATGGCTGCAGTCACCATCTGCAGTGATTTTGGAGGCCAAGAAAATAAAGTCTGTCACTGTTTCCATTCTTTCCCCATCTATTTGCCATGAAGTAATGGGACCAAATGCCATGACCTTCATTTCTTGAATGTTGAGTTTTAAGCCAGATTTTTCATCTCCTCTTTCACTTTCATCAAAAGGCTCTTTAGTTCCTCTTTGCTTTCTGCCATAAGGGTAGTGTCCTGTGCATATCTGAGGTTATTGATGTCTCCCAGCAGTCTTGATTCCAGCTTGTGCTTCATCCAGCCTGGAATTTCACATGATGTACTCTGCATATAAGTTAAATAAGCACGGTGACAACATACAGCCTTGACGAACTCCTTTCCCAAATTTTTTAATTTTTTAATATATTTTTTATTGAAGGATAATTGCTTTACAGAATTTTGTTGTTTTCTGTCAAACCTCAACATGAGTCAGCCATAGGTATACATATATCCGCTCCCTTTTGAACCTCCCTCCCATCTCCTTCCCATTCCTACCCCTCTAGGTTGATACAGAGCACCTGTTTAAGTTTCCTGAGCTATACAACAAGTCCCCATTGGCTATCTATTTTACGTATGGTAATGTAAGTTTCCATGTTACTCTTTCCATACATCTCACCCTCTCCTCCCCTCTCTCTGTGTCCATAAGTGTATTCTCTATGTCTGTTTTTCCATTGCTGCCCAGTAAATAAATTCTTCAGAACCATTTTTCTAGATTCCATATATGTGCATTAGAATATGATATTTATCGTTCTCTTTCTGACTTACTTCACTCTGTATAATAGGTTCTAAGTTCATCCACCTCATCAGAACAGACTCAAATGTGTTCCTTTTTATGGCTGAGTAATATTCCATTGTATATATGCACCACTACTTCTTTATCCATTCATCTGTTGATGGGCATCTAGGTTTCTTCCATGTTCTACCTATTGTAAATAGTGCTGCAATGAACAATGGGATACATGTGTCTTTTTCAACCCTGGTTTCCTCAGGGTATATGCCTAGGAGTGGGATTGCTGGGTCATATGGTGGTGTTTTATTCCTAGTTTTTTAAGGAATCTCCATACCATCTTCCATAGTGGTTATATCAATTTACATTCCCACCAAAAGTGCAAGGGTGTTCCCTTTTCTCCATGCCCTCTCCAGAATTTATTGTTTGTAGACTTTTTGATGAGGGCCATTCTGACTGCTGTGAGGTGATATCTCATTGTGGTTTTGATTTGCCTATCTCTAATAATCGATGTTGAGCATCTTTTCATGTGTTTGTTAGCCATCTGTATGTCTTCTTTGGAGAAATGTCTAGGTATTTTTTCCACTTTTTGATTGGGTTGTTTGTTTTCCTGGTATTGAGTTGTATGAGCTGCTTGTATATTTTGGAAATTAATCCTTTGTCAGTTGTTTCATTTGTTATTATTTTCACCCATTCTGAGGGTTGTCTTTTCACTGTGCTTATAGTTTCCTTTACTGTGCTAAAGCTTTTAAGTTTAATCAGGTCCCAATTGTTTACTTTTGTTTTTAATTCTGTTACTCTAGGAGGTGGGTCATAGAGGATCTTGCTTTGATTTATGTCACTGAGTGTTTTGCCTGTGTTTTACTCTAAGAGTTTTATAGTTTCTGGTTTACATTTAGGTCTTT